TCGGAAGGAAGATGGGGCAATCTACTTCCATAGTGATACTGCCTCGGAAACCCAAGGAGGGGTTGCTATGAGTTGGGTCCGACTCGATGGCACATATCAACAACAACAATAGAATCTATATGGTTAGAAATATTTTCTATTCAAATTCATATTTTTTATAAAATTAAGCAATGAATTCCAGAAAAGAATTTGCATGTCACAGTTCTGAGAACAGAAAACATACTGCTTAAGATGGCTATGCCATGTACTGACTGTTTTACGTTAGGCAGATTAGTGCATCCCTCTGAGCCTTAGCTTTCTCATCTATTAAATGGGGATAATGATAGTACTTTATAGAGTAGTTATGAGACTTAAATGACATGACAAATATTAAATATCAAAAGTGTTCTTGTTAACAGTTGCTATCCCAATCTTTTCTTCTTAATCCAAAGTGCTGCTCAACAAGAATTCGAAGACAATTGGACAGGAACCTCACCTTTCATAAAATGGTGGCCTGGATGATTGCACTCCACACTGGTGAGTTTATCAAAGGATTTTAGATTGCAAAGAAAACTTGGAACCAGAGAATTCCCTCTATTGGTAGATAGTTTTTATAGGAGCCCAGTCTTTACAGGTGGATTAGGTGGTGGTTGGCTATGTTGCATATTTTGAATGAGTTCAAAAATATTCATCACAGTTTCTGTCATTCCAATATTAGGAGTTACTCCTTCAGGTCTTAACATTTTTTCATCTTCACAATTTTCCTATAAAATTGGAAATATTCCATGAGAAGAGTTAAGTCTAGTATCCTCACCCTTTGGCATTGTACCAAGCCAAACCCATTGTCATTGAGTCAATTCCAACTCATAATGACCCTACAGGACAGAGTAGAACTGCCACAGAGGGTTCTCAAGGCTGAAAATCTTTGGAGGCAAACTGGTTCATCTTTCTCCCAAAGAGCAGTTGGTGGGTTCAAACTGCCAACCTTTTGGTTAGCAGCCCAATGCTTTAACCACAGCACCACCAGAGCTCCTTATTTTCTATTGTAAAGATTCTTTTTTAATATCAAAAATATATGTAAATTCATTCATTCAACATAATGGTTGGTGCATATGAGGATTTGTTGATTTCTTGCAGAGACCCTAAAGGGACCAGAGCCCAAAAATTGAGAATCCCTTGAGAAAACCTTTATTGGCTAAACATCTTTATTATTGCTGTTGCTATTAATTATAATTATTATTCTAATTAGGAATTAGTAGAAAACTTGAAGTGTTCAGATGGAAAGAGAGACATGTGGTTAAGGAAGTAAGAATTCCTGAAAGTCAACATTGGAGAAGTTTGAAACCTTCCAGCCACATAGCTTGATGCATGGAGAGTGGATACATTAGAGTGAAAGAAGGGACCACATTTGGTACCCTTACTTCCATAGTGATACTGCCACAGAAACCCAATGAGAGGTCTCTATGAGTTGGATCCAACTACAGCAGTGAGTTTGGTTTTTTGGTTTATCAAATCTCCACGAATTCAGTTAGTAAATAATTGAATTGCTTGACATTGGGTATGCACAGTGAGGAGCAAGCCAGACTTTTACTCTTAAGGAGTTTGTCCCTAGCCTGATTAAAATAGGCTTGGATTGCAGATGTTCAGCTGAGTTTCTCTTCTTTTACTAGTGGAGCACACAGACTTTCTTTCTGAGCTGTGGCAAACAAAATAGGTCAAAAGTGAAAATTTTAATAAAATATTTTTAGAAAGTAGCAAAGTGTACTGGTTGAGAATACAGAATTGCATGCCAAACTTCCTGGGTGTGGAACATAGCTATTACTACTTCCCAGTTTGATAACCTTGGGCAAGGTTTTTTTTTTTTTTAATTTTTTTTATTTTAAGAGTTTGTTTTACATTCAACATTATGTGTACATTTAGTTTCACTCCCCATATACCATTCCCAACCCTAACCCAGTCTCCTCCCCTCCTTTCCCAGTAACTCCCCACCCCCACCCCATGCAGAGGTGGGGGGCGCATAACTATGCACTCCTATGTGTCTTGAATTTCCTCTGTGTAAATGTTGCCCCTATGGTGCCTTGTGGTGGATCGCTCCAAGGGATGCATCTCCATAGAGTATGTGGGTGCGTCACCCTAGGTTGAGTGGTCTGTATGGACACATCTTGTTTACTATTGGGCTGAGAGCCAGCCCTTGGGAGTGAGCTTTATTCCAGGCCCAGAATATATCCCAGGACCATAGTATTGGAGGTCTCACCAGACCCCATCTGACCAGTAATTCTTGTCATTTTTGAGTTTTTGGATTTTGTTCCACGTTTTTCCTCCCACTCTATCCAGGATGTCCAGATTTGATCCTTTCCTGAGTGGTTGGCCTTGGTAGCCAGGCACCATCTATTTCTTCTGGTATCAAGGGCCATCGTGTTCTAGGGCTGATTACTTCCAAATGCCCTTGTTATTTTTGCACTCTTCTTTGCTTCCAACAATAGGAGACCATTAGGTGCATCTTAGATGGCTGTTTGAAAGCTTTTAAGTCCCCAGTAGCTACTCACCAATGTAGGATGATGAACGAGACTTTTATGTATTTTGTTGTGCTTGGCCAAGGTTTTAAAACAACCTGTGACTCAGTTTTCTCTTTTGTAAAATGTGGTAATAACATTGTTGTTGTTATGTTCCATTCACCCAGTTTTTACTCAGTGACCCCTTGTGGCAGAGTAGAGATACCACATAGGGCTTTCTAGGCTGTATTCCGTATGGGAGCAGATCACTAGGTCTTTCTCCAACAGAGATGCTGGGTGGGTTCGAACTGCCAACCTTTTGTTTAGTAGTCAACACTAAACCACCATCAGGGCTCTTTGAAGTTATAATAATAGTACCTATATCAATGGGTGCATAGTGCCTAAGGCACTCGACTGCTAACCAGAGGGCTGATGGTTCAAACTCACCAGCCACACCTCGGAAGGAAGGTTGGGCAATCTACTTCCGTAGTGATACCGCTTCAGAAACCCAAGGAGGGGTCACTGTGAGTTTGGTCTGACTCAACAGCACATAACAACAACAACAACATATCCTTGGGTCAGTGTAAATATTATTTGGTGCTTGGTAAGCCCTATGCAGGAGCTCTGGTAACGTAGTACCTAAAGCACTTGACTGCTAACCAGAAGGCTGGTGGTTCAAACCCACTAGCCACGCCTCCAAAAGAAGGTTGTGCAATCTACTTCGGTAGTGATACCACTTCAGAAACCCAAGGAGGGGTCGCTATGAGTTGGTCCGACTCAACAGCACATAACAACAACAACAACAAACCCTATGCAGGGGTTCCTGGGTGGTGCAAATGGTTAAGCCCTCAACTGCTAACTGAAAGGTTAGTGGTTTGAACCACCACAGTGTCTCTATTGGAGAAAGACCTGGTGATCTACTCCCATAAAGATTACAGCCTAGAAAACCCTATGGGGTAGTTCTACTCTGCAACACATAGGGTCATCATGAACCAGAGTCAACTCAATGGAAACTGATTTGGTTTTTGTTTTTAAGCCCTTTTTTTATTAAATAAAGGATGCATTTTTTAAAAAAGAGAGTCATACTTAGGACCATTGGTTTATACCAATTCAACAATTCAATCCAATGTTCTCTCTCTCTGGAGGTAATGTCAGAGTCAGTAATATTATGGTTGGTGAATGGGCCAGCCTTAGGTATAAAATACTTGAGAGTCTTCTTGTTTGAGTACAGATATATATAGGGAAAGTAGAGAATGAGAGCATATCTAAGCATCCTCAGAGACCAAGGTGATTTTGTAGAATCTCTGAACTTGGATCTTTAGGATCATGTAGTTTAACAAACTTTGCATTTTTACAAATGAGGAAACCACAGCTAGAGACGTTATATGATTTGAGCAGTCACATAGCTAGGAGCTCTTTTCACTAGAATTGCCTTGTCTGGTCCTAGAGACCCAGTTCTTGTTTATAAGTGTCCTGGGCTCTGTGTGTCTCTATAACTTATTATAATGTCAAGAATAGTAGCCAGAAAACTAGTGTATAATGAAAATAAAACCCTTTACTTTCTTTGTTTCTCTTCTCTATTTTATTTAGCTATTCACACCATTGCACATCTATTTAATGTGGAGTGGTGTGTGAATGCCCGTGTCAATGATTCTGATCCTTATTCAATAGCACTCTCTAACATTGGAGATAAGCCCAATGAAGAGTATCTCAACTTTGCTCGCCAGAGAATCAAGGTAAGCCTCTCATTACCTGATTCTGATCTTTCCTAGGCCGTTAAATATAAAGGGTTGATTTCAGTGAGAGAAGCATTGTACTTAGTCAGAACAACAACAGAAAAATTGACTAACTCTCAGAGAGATAGGTCTGTTGGGGATAAGGATGTGTGTGCAGAGAAAATATCTTCCACATTCCTGATCCTGTGTGTGGAGAGTCTCTATATGTTCTCGAGGTCCTTAAGCTCACCTGTGAGAATGTGTGTACATGGAACTTGGAGTAACTCAGTAATCCTAAACTCACCCAAGATTGTGCCCACCAGTCAAAGAAGGCCAGGAACACATGTGTAGTCAAACAAAATTAGTTTTATTACTTGCTGCAGCAAAAGAGACTTCACAGTGTGAGAAGTCCAGGTATCTCAGGAGGGTATCAAGAAGGGCTTATTATAGAACTTGGGCTTGTGTTAGGTTATTTTAGGGTGGATTTAAAGAAGCAAGGATTTCTCCAGATTGGGTATAGTCAGGAATGGGGGTAGTTCTAAGACTGGGTATATAATTTCTTTCCTAGGTGGCAAAAGGAATACAACGGGGTAAAAGTATAATAGGAAAAAAAAAAGCAGTCACCCATGTTTTTGTCTTAGTTCAGGCATGGTTTTAGGGTGGTTTTGTTTTCATTTCACTCCATCACACACTGATTTTGGTGTTCTGTAAACTTGTTCATGTTAAATAGGGAACAACCTATTTAAGTATTAGTACCAGGCCAGCCACCAGCTGACAGGTGTCAGGAATGCTTCTTTCTTTCATACCTACAACATCTTAGGGATGGACTATATCTGCTAATTGTCATTCCTTGAGAAGCATAGTGCACTGGGAGTAACTCAGCAGTTCTCCAGGAGCAGCCATGAGGACATCCAGAAAAAGAAGCTCTAAGTCATCTTTATATGCTCCTTGGCTCGAGAGAATGGCTAAATCAGATTACTATACACCAACTTACATATATTTTCCTTGTGTTTAGAAAAGGCTATGAGGGAAACCCTTAATTTTGCAAAACATGTTATCCTCTGGATGATATAAAAAAAGCTTACCTAGACTACTTGGGGACAGAATTAAACTAGGAACAGCAAACACAACAGAAATTTTTTTTTTCTACAATGTCTTGGATAATTTTCTATTTGTTCATTGTTTGTACAATGATATGAAAGGGTAGCATTGTGAACATACTAGGTGAGTAGACCCTACCATGTTCTGCCCTGATCCTCATGTTGTTGTTGTTGTTATGTGCTGTGGAGTCAGACCCGACTGATAGTGACCCCTCCTTGGGTTTCTGAGGTAGTATCACTATGGAAGTAGATTGCCCAACCTTCCTTCTGAGGAGTGCTGGTGGGTTTGAACTGCCAGCCTTCTGGTTAGCAGTCAAGTGCCTTAGGCACTACGCTACCACAGATCCCCATAGGTTACTTTTATTATCTGTGCCCTCCTCCCTCTTTCTGTGTGCTTTTGATTTCAATGGTCTGTACTTGTATTTTTTCCTTAGAGGGCTGCCCTGGGGCTATTGGAGTCCTTTTGCACATAGACTCAGAATTCTGGAAGAACCTGGATGGTTACCTCTCACTAGACAGCCTTTAGCCAGTGACCAATGGGTACAGGCCATGAAACCCAAGCTCCCCCTCCAGGTCTCCCCTGCAGGATAAGGCCCAAGCTACCCTCTGTGAAACTTTCTTTGAAATCAGCCCTTGCTTGACTTTTTCTTCTTTCCTATCCTATTCTTTATTCTCATACTAGGTTCACCTGGAAGCACACCTTTTATAAATCAGTTGTTCATGAATCTACACCTCAAGGTCTGCTTCTGGGAAACCCAGCCTAAACTGTTACACATGCTCAGAATACATTTGCAAATTATGCACTGTGGCCATTAATGCCAAATCAAAGTGAGAAAGAGCTTCAGACACTTTTACAACATCTTATCGTCAACTGATTTCCTTTATTTGTGACTCCTTTAGAACAATGATTGGCTCAGGTATAGCAAGGACTGTGAGGATGATGCACGACTGGGCAGTGTTTTGTTCTGTTGTACATGGAGTCACTGAGTCAGAGCCGACTCAACAGCATCTAACAACAACAACCTGAACTATTTCAGGGTATTAACTAAGGAGCACTAATGGCATAGGAAGATGGGGCAATCTACTTCCATAGTGATACTGCCT